GGGGTCTCCAGGGCCCTGCCAGGCCCGTCCACGCTGGGAGATACCTGCTCCGGCGCCCTGGGGCCTGGGGCCTGGGCCTGGGCCTGGGCCTGGGCCTGGGCTTCCACAGCCGGCAGTGGGGGGTGAGAAGGAAGGAATGAGGGGCGAAGGGCGGGTAATGAGCCCGGGGAAGGAGAAGGGCGGGAGAAATTCTCCTTTCTGCTCTTGCTGAGCGACCGACCTGCTCGATCCCGGCTCTTCCGCCGTGTGGAAACCTGGCCCGGAGTTGTGAGCTTGTAGTTAGTCCTCTTATTCTGGTGGAAGTACGGAGCTGGATTGCAGAGCGCGTTGTTCTTGGCGGGTTATTCTAAACTTGTTTGAAGAGGTCGCAGTGTTCATAATTGCATCTTAATTTAAATCAACATTACGTGATATTTCTAGATATGGTTGGTTGCATTCCCGAGATTATACGGCCTGTTTTTGTTTCTGTGAGTTGCTTGTGTGCAGCGTGAGTTTGATATGAAATGAAAATAGGTGCTAAAAAATTATTCTTCTGTCTTTACAGGTTTCACGGCGAGGGGTATCAGGAGGGCTATGCTGAAGGCAGTCACGTTGGCGTTGCTGAGGGAAGGAGGTATGGATCGCTCCATGGTGCCAAGATTGGGTCTGAGGTAAATGGGAAAATACTTCAGAATCGCAATGTTTTTGTCATTAGGAAATTATTGTAATGCAGCAACTGCTGGGCAAAGACTGATATATTGGTAGTCTGAGCCCTGCTATGTTATACTGCTTTGTATGTGTCCAAGAGGGCCCATAAAACTAGTCTGAAGGCGATATTTTGATTTGAAGAGTTGAATAGATGGTTTGGTGTTTTCTGAGCTTATTTGCTGTATTTAGATTGTGATTTTTTTTTTCTGAAAGGGGGGATAAGAACAGACAACTAAAATCAAACAAGCTTGCTCAGAAAAAAATGGTGATGGACTGTACGTTTATCTTTTTAACCCGAAACTGTGGCTGAAGGCCCCCCTGTACCATCTCCTGTGGCTCAGCATTAGGGAAAAACATGGAACATTGAGACACCTTGGGTGGAGAACCATAAAGGAGCAATCCTGGGTGTCTCTGTTGCGCTCTTTGTTATTTCTAATACTGGGAGAGTTTGTTGGTTGAGGCATTGTTATTCTTTAGTACATGGAGTGAGTTCTGCGTGTTGGCACACTCACGCAATGGCATCCCTGAATCAGTAAGCCTTCCTAGGAACAAAAGGACTGGAGAGTGGTGGTGACGCACATTAACTTGTCTCGTATGTCCAGCTCAAGTTTATCATAACATGGAGTGTGTTCAGTGCTGTACAATGTAGTTGTAGTATTTTTGGACCTGAACTGGATTTTTTCAGCTTTGATGGGAAGCTGTACTACAGGATTCATGGCAGGCCTTATTTCAAGGACAGTGCCACAAATCTAAATCTATTCGATCTATTGGAGCCCTTTGGGTAATTTGGCAATTTGCCCTTTTGATATTTTCAGGTTTCAGAAAGTTGATTACCTACAGAAAGAACAGTAGCAATGGTATTAATCCATCTTGAAGTGAAAAAGGTAAACCGTCAAATTCTGAAAGGATGGTTATCGTAAAATTTTGGTTTGCATTTGGGTGTGATGCAGAGATGTACAGTGATTTTCCTACTTACGCTACAACTGTGTAGTTCCAAGATGAGAATGTTAAACAGCAGCCTCCAAAGCTGGATAGTGTTATACAAAATGGTCCTAGACAGACCATTATAGAGAAGTGCTCTAATCTACTTATATTGGGGAAGCTGCAGAGGACAGTAGGATTGTAGACAGCGAGTCACGTTAAATGAGACAAGGAGTGACTTGGGTAATCTTAGACCTGTCAGCCTATTTTTGTGTCTTGGGCAAAATTATGATGCTGATCCGATACTGGCCTTGCTTGGTAGAGAATTAAAGTAAGACACTGTAATTAAAGTGTGTCTGTTGTCAGGTGCTGTCAACGAAAAATTAACTGGAAGCCTCACTTCAAATATCCTTGAGCACTTAATGGGATGTTAAGTCCCAAACCCATGTTTGGGCCTTAAAAAGAACCTCTGCTGTGTACTTTAACAAACATAACTAACAGAAGACTGGAACTACCAAACACTCCCACTCTACTCTGAAGTGGTTTGCAGGCCACAGGAGCTTACAAGTCCAACAATGTTTTGTAAGTTTAAATGGCAGATGTATGCACGTGCACACGTATGGACCGAAGTGGGATTAGGCTGTAATTTTGGACTTAATTTCTCAAAGTCAGCTAACTTTTGTTTCAGGTGTCTGTGTTGTTTTTCTGTGAACGCTGAGTCACTTTTGAAAGGGACTCCAGCCAATTTATCCAGTTGATGCGTTGAAGAGCTTACCTATATTCCTATTTCATTTGCTGTCCAGAGTTGTAATGAAAAGTTCTGGCAGCAAGGCTAGCTAAGTCAGCTCCTCGTGTTTCTTTCTGATTCCATGTTACCCTCTTGAGTTAGGCTGGTAAAATTGTTTGCATATTAACTCAGAAAAGAAGTGTGGTTTCCTCTTTGGTTGACTTGGTAGCTCCCTCAGCCCAGCTGGTACGCCTTCGTTTAGGGCTGTGCGTGGGCTGCTTAAACTGACAGTGCTGCAAAAACGAATACTTACCCAAACATCTTAAATAGGTTGTTTTCTAACTGTTTCCCTGCTACCACACTTTAATAAATTTGGGTGTTCAAAGCATATGAATTATCGCTAGTGTTTTGCAGAATGACTTTTTATTCTTTAATTTAAATATTTTGTCCTCTGATGCTAAACAGATTCTTAGAAGTTTTCTGACTCTTGTACTGTGTAACACAGCCCTCATTTATCCTACCCTAACTTACTGAACTTCCCAGCATAGAAATGTATTTGTATATCCAGTGATTTGTTTCCTGAAGAATGTTTGACTACATACACTGCATTTGTTTTTTGTTCCCTCATGACATTCTGATAAATTCGCAGATTGGCTGCTACCTTGGGTTTGCACTGACGTGGCAGTGTCTGCTCCAGAAATGCACGGATGAAAAGAACGGGTAAGGTTAAAAAAAAATTACTGTTCTTTTAATACTGTTTCAAATTATGGTGTCGGGTTTTGCCTCTTCCCCAATACAAAAGAAATACTGAAAAACAGAAGAAAGGTGAGCAGGGGGCCACTAGGGTGGTATCATATGCTGGACCATGTGATACTGAAAAGAGAATGGGGAACTTGGTTTCTTCAGCCTGGAGAAGAGAAGACAAGGGAGACACCTAGTTGTACCACATAAGGGGAAGTTCTAGGTAAGGTGGAGACACGTTCCTTGCAGAAGTGCCCAGTGAAAGGACAACAGGCAATTTTCACAATTTGAAACAATTCAAGTTCTAATGGGGTGTAAGAAGAAGGTCCTTTCCAGTGCAAGCAGCTGAGTGCTGGGACAAGTTGTCCAGAGAGACTCCAGAAGCTCCATCTTTGTAGATTTTCAAAATCTGATTGGAGATGGGCCTGAGCAACCTTATCTAGCTTTGAAGTTAGTCCAGCTGCTGCAGAAGGTGGACTAGATGATCTCCAGCTGTCCCTTCCAACCTACATTTTTCTATGACTTTCATTCTTTTCTCCATTCATTCTTTTCTGTCCAGTTCTGATTAATTTATCTGACAGAACTGCCACCATACCGTCAGCTGTTTTGATAGTGTTCTGGCGAGCTTTTTTTATTGCATATCTTTATTTTGCTCAGTCATCTAATCAATATTTCTGAAGGTTCTTGAATGTTTCTCAACTTTTGGCAGGTAAGTTAAAAGGGAAACCTTAACTTTGTCAGTTGGGCTACAGCTTAATTTCTGATTATGGCTTAAATATGTATCAAATACACGCTCTCAGTGAGCTAAATGGGAGAAGTTGAATTAAAGAAGGATGGAGGGCTGGATTTTACGCTCTGAATTATTATTTGTAAGTATTAGTATAATTTTCATATTGACGGATTGAAAAAACCTATAGTAGGCTCATTGGTTTTTCTGTTTTGATTTGATTTTTTTTTTTGTAGCAAAAAGATAAGGGCTCTGGATTCATTAATAGGGATGATTCAGAAATTCCCATATGAAGACCCCACTTACGATAAGCTACAAGAAGATCTGGAAAAAATCAGAGGAAAATTTAAACAGGTTTGTAGGATTAAGTTGTTATAGCACAGAATGGTATTAATTTCTGAAATAATTTAGTGTCTAAACCTGCTTAAAACCACAGTATTTGTGCAGAGCAATTATTGTTCTTCTTTTGCAATCGTAGTAAAAATACTTGAAGTGAATTTAGTGAAAATACTTGATAGTTGAGAAGTCCCCAACTGATAGCTAATGCAAAATAAAAGAAAAATATTCTTTAAATGAAAAGTGAAAATATTACTTGACAATGAATTACAAGTGGGACCAGAAGAAGAGAAATGGAGGAACTGGGAGTTCTGTTGAACATCCTTCTTGGAAAATAGACGCTTTGAAACACTTTCATGTATTCTTTTTTAGGTTTGTTCAATGCTAAATATTCAGTCTGATTTTAGAATCGGTACTGAAAGATCTTCATTAACATTTTGAATATAACAGATGAAGATAAACATGGATGACCAGAGAAGAAACATTAAGAGAACAGATAACTGGAAAAGTGTTTATCTACTCTCATTTTAAACAAAATCAAAATAGCGAAGAGGTGCTAAATATTAAAGGAGAAAGGGAAAACCATTGAACTTGCAATAGTACTTGTCATATGTCACTTAGCATTTATTATCTCCTGGTTTTATTTAGATAGCTGAGGCACCAGTGTGTAAACCTGTTAAATAGAAATATTTGCTTTAATTCCTCATTAGCCTTGCACTGATAGATTAATTCCTCAAAAGGAAAACATATGCCTTTGCAAAGTTTCCTTATTTAAAGGGTGTATGTTACTTAAAAATCTGTGTATGCAGATCATTCAGTTTACACAATGTGTAGATATTGTAGGTGAAGCAAAATATAATCAATTGCCTGCAGACTTTGCAGTAGGAAACATTTTTGTGCGTAAAGAGTAGAATGACAAATGAAGTCAGAATGTGAAGGAGAAAGATTAAGATAACTGCTCATAAAGTAGCTGCAGCTCAGAACATGGAATTTGCACTTTCCACGAGTTCTGCAGACTGATGCAGTGTGGGGGGAAAAAACTCCACCAGACCCCGCCAGAAACAAACCCAAAAAGCTAGCAATTTAAGAGCTCAGTGAGAGAAGTGTGACTACCAGAAGAGTTGTGATACTGATACTAGTATTTACTAGTACCTTTTATGGAGGACTAGCTTTTTATCGTCCAGTCTTGAAAATATCCTCTTTAGTCTCAGATAAAAAAGATGGATGCCATCAGCTAAATGTATTCAACTGTGTTAGTTTAAGAGAAATACAGTCAATTATTTTACCTGAAAAATGTTTTAGGTTGGGCTGCTGGATGTCTTTGCATACCATTTGCATTACAGTTATAGAATGAATATATACTTTCATCAGTTGTAACGTATGCATGTCTGGCTAAGTCTACATGGCATAGCGTAGCTTCATAAAGACAGATTTGACTACCGTGGCTATCGGAAGCTGTACGCAGGGTAAACTCTCTCAGGTGAAGGAAATGTTTTAATACGGCCATATCCTTGAACAGCACTACTTTGTGCCACTTAGACCTCAATTTTGTTTTACTTGTACAGCTTTTTTATTATACAAGAAAATAAGCAACTTGAATTTTTAAAACATTCACTGTGTATTCACATCTGGGATATGAAGGACATGCATTCTGCTAAAATTTTTGCATTTTGGGCTCTGAAGATAAAAAAGTTTTGCTGACTGTATGGAGGGCGTGATGTGCATGTGTATCGATTTATTTCAAAATAATCTTTTAGTCTTTGTCTGTTTCCTGAGTATGCAAGCGTGCCAATGTCAGAGGCTTTTCTGAGTAACTGGTTGCTGGTGTACTTTGTTTGTTCGTTTAATTACCTTACATGTGTAAGCATTCAAACAGCTTTGATACGCATAGTGAGTGTCAGGGCCATCTAGTGGAGGAGGTCGTTGTATTGTGTAAGAAATAGATTATAAGAGTTCACAAATATTTATATAGATAGAAGTTGTTAAAATAGAGAGTACAGAATATGTAGGCATGATACAGCTCTTCTAGTCAAGTGGTGAATTTCTTTGAAATAAAGTAATATTGAGGTAGGATTGATTTGTAGTTTGTTTCCTCATTTGAGACCTTGGAAGGGACATGACAGCATTGATGGTCTCTTCATTTAGGGCAGTTTGAGTACAGTTGGCTTTTAATTGTTATGCAGCTAAACCACTGGGAACCAGAACGAGCACCAAACTGCAAGTACCTGAAAGTAGAAGCAAAATAAAATAGCATACTCTGTAATCTCAGTAAATAGATGGGCACAAAACAAGAAGATCACATACTAGAGAAAAGAAAGCTAATTTGACTTTATAATCACTTCAGAGAAATCCCAATTTGAAAAAGTTGTCTCTGCATCCACAAAGCAGTTTATTTTTGCAAATCAAAGTATTTTACCTGTTTACTTCAAATTAATGAAAGGTACTAGATATTCATCTGTGAATAACTTTGAAAATATTTTTTTGTTGAAATCCATGAATTATGCTTTAAATAAACTCCCCCTGGATCTCGGTCTAAAAAAAGGCAGTTTTGTTGTTTTTCTGAATGATAGTACAAAGAGAAGTAAACGCTGGAGGTCTAAGTATTTCTGTTTTAAAATGCAGCCTTTTTTGGAATCTTTGTACGTGGTTTACAAAAATGTATGTAACAGCAAGGGAAGGAATGCGAGAGCTCAAAGTATCTGTGAAGCGTTTGATTAATAGAAGTGTGTGATATGTAAGTTATATGCAAAGTGCTACTCTAGAGATTGTATCAAAAACAAAATTATTTTTGTTCCACTAAGGAGAGAAAGGATCTTCGCAGATCAAGCAGTCAGTGACTGTTACGTTGAAAATTGGTTTGGTGGCTAATTTTCTTGTATTGCTTTCATTTTATTTATAACAAATTAATATTGTTAGAATAAATTATTATATAAATATATATATACACACACATATTTAACTATAAAGATTGTAGCAACCAGGATTTCAAACTGGGATATGCCAGGTTTAGGGTTGCCTGTTAGGTCTTTAATTTAGCTCCATATGTGTGTACATACTGATGGAGTCTCTTATTCCACAAGTCTGTATTTTTCCGAATATCTTCTGTTTCATGATGGTGTTTATTAAATGAGGTACGGTTAAAAATTCTGTTGGATATGTAGTTGTATACTTTCTTTGGTGCCAATTTTTTAAACTGTTTCCTGCAACAGAGTTGGGGGGTTTTCTGTGATGTTCAGGGCTGTAACAGTGCAGTCTTCACAGCATACCGTAGGGGTATTTTTATACCTTATTTACAGCTAAGGAGTTAAAGCCCAGGTTACATCAAGGATATTGATTTGCCTTAATTAATGTGAGATATCTAATGTGACTTGTTCCAAATAATCTTGCATTTTGAGTACCTAAATACTTCAGAATGTTCTTCTTGCCAACATCAAGAGTGGCTGAGTACCTAGCTTTTTTTGCATGTTTGTATTTTTGCCTGGGTTTCTCAGATCAGTCACCTAGAAAATTAGGAACTTTACAGTTAGCAAACACCTGTGAAAGGTGTGTGCTTAAGCCAGCTAGAATGCTACTGGGGGGAAAAAAAAATCCATCAAAATTTTGAAAACCAGTATTCAGTTTTGTGATATATAAGTGTACGGTTTATTTTCTTTCGACACCTTTCCTGTTATGTTAACATCTTCCTAAAATCTGTAACAAATGAAAACAAATTCTTACAAATGGCTTCATTAGTTTCACACCCTGCTTACTCATCCTGTGTGGTGAATGGTCAGGACTCTGGTGGAAGCAAGCGTTACACTGTAATTAAAGACTCTGTTGGAAGATCTGTGCACAGAGAGGCTGTGTAAAGCTTCTGTGGACTATGGTCATTCAGACGTTTCCAGGTTTGAATGCTTGACTGTGCAACTTAAATATTGCTTTAAAGACTGGGTGGAAAAGATATGGAAAAAATGCAATCTTGTAGATTATAATATTGGTTATTAATAAAGTGGGACATCGAGATTGTGGCTCTGTGCTGTATTGTCAAACAGGTTTAAAATTTTGCAGAAGTACTTGATCTGTTAAGAACAGTTAAGATAGAAAATTTCTGCTAAAATTATTGAAGTTGCTAAGACTTAGAAATATGTTGCTGTATTCACCACCTCTAGTTACTGCTCAGTAGATAGGGAGGAATGTTTGAAACATTTAACTTACAAATTTCTGACTTGCCCGGGCTGCGTTCTAGCTTGTTTTCTTTCTTCATGATCCCCTCTCAGCTGAAGCTGTAGAATACAGGATTTTATTAAAAGGTGGATACAAAGCTAATTACTGCTCATGGATTGAAGTCACTGCAGTCCAGAAGACTTGTAATTTTTCTTTCTATGATACGTGATGAGTACAAGAAATAGTGAGCTTTGAGGCATCAGCAGAGAAAGGTAAACTCTGACTACAGTGAATTAATTCCCTGCAGAATTGCATGCTGATTCAATACTGTCTTATAGCCATGGGATCATTAACTGCTAGTACCAAATCAGCCATCACTAGAACATGTAAATCTGACTTTGTAGGCTATCGGTGTCATTGTACTATATCAGTACAGTAAAAAAAGTAGGATGGAGTTTGTTAAAGCCTCCTAGTAAAATTCATGAATAAAACACTTGTTTTTAGTGTTTGTTCACAGCAAACTTTCTTTCCATTTGTTGTAAACTGTAATGTGAAGGGGATCAATTTCAGCTTTGGATAAACATCTGTAGCCAACAGGAATGGGTGAAATAAATCAGAAAAAAATCTGAGTATGCAATTGTTAGCTTAAAAATCAACCCTATAGGAGTAGTCTGGCTCATTCAATCCTATTACGGTTTTCTGAAACAAGGTTATGATAATCTACATGTGGATGTGTAAGGAAAGTCTGGCTTCCCAGATTGGCATGCCTTGTTTGGTTAGCTGACCTTGTGATCAACCTGCTGTTGAGGTATGAAATACATAAGCAACAGTGTGTTCTAGTATGCACATAGAACCTCTGCAAACTCATGTTGCTAGCTTTCTGGATATACACCATTTAGAGAAAGAAAAATAAAGACAAGTTTAAACACTCTGTTTTTGTAGGATTATTTTTGTTGAGTAAAGTACACGTTTTGGTCTATGTCTTTAGGATTTCTAGAAAGGTAGCACATTTTTATTGATTATTTTTAAATAGATAGATTACGTTGAGATAAAATTATGAGGAGTAATTTTTCAGTAGATCAGTTCCAAAGTTTATAAATATATAGGTTTTGGTTTTTGAAGAGATGCAAGAGAGTTTGAGCCCTATGATGTATTTATGAATGCTTATATACACTTTGGCTGTAAATACAACTTCCTTTATTGGAACAAAGGGAGATCCGTCTGTCAAAAGTCTGCCTGCACCCTAATATTCCACAGTGCTTTAGAGTAAGAACAGATACCCTTTTAAGATATATGACTTACCCCACAGAAGGAGATCAAATAATCTGAAATTTTGAGGTTTTAAACCTATAAATCCTGTTCTGTTTACATCTTTTTTGTTCTGTATGCATCTACATCCCTTTTTGAGTCCTTTTTGAATGTAAATTTTTAATACCCATCTCCACGTTAAGGTATTACAAGAAAAGAACATTAAAAATGGAATCTTTTATTTATAAAAACCATGCAACTACAGGCCTGGATCTAATATTTATTTATTTACTCACAAGCTGCCGAAGTTGTGTATTTTATTAAACACAGCCTTCTGTTTCAAGGTCTGATTTAATAATCTTAGATTCTTGTCTAGTTTTGTTATCAATTGAAAGTGGGTGCCTTCTCCCTGGGTGGCTTGTTTGAACATTTGTGGGGTTTTTTTAAATGATGTCCTGTAATTACTCGGCAGTATTGCATGCTTGAAAGAGAGTGCTGGTGATATTAATGTCATTTTCTGGAGATAAAGGTGTGGGCAAGCAAGATGAGGATAAGACTCCTTGTCAGGGTAGTTGCTTTCTTAAACAATTTCTGCAATGATAGCAGCATGAAGCACTAAACATTTTTGACTCAGTGCTGCTGTTGGTGTGCCTAATGATCTGAAGGATATAGTTTGAAATCTGCTGGAATATTAGAATTATCTGAAGTCCTTCTGGATTAGAATCTTTATTTCTGATGGGAGTTTGTTCAGGGCCCTCCAGAGAAGGTTGTAAGAGCTGGATCAGGCCGACAGAGCAATGTGCGTGTGATACCGTATCTCATCCTGATCTTCTTAAAGAGAAGGGCTTTGGTTTGAAACAAAAGGTTTAATATTTCTACTAATGTTATAATTCTTCATATTCTTGGTGCTACTCAGTATGAACGTTAGTGCCTTTTGAATACTGCCCTTCGCAACTTCTTATGGCAATGGGTTCTGGTCTAACTATAGCCTAAAACTTCAGCTTTCATAGTTTAGCAAGTAACTGCAAAGATTCTCATTTTACAGTCTGCCAGAGTTGTTTTTTTAATGGATAAAGTTATGACAGTACACATTACCATGGAAATGTATACATCACCAGAGAAAATGGAGATCTGGGAGGTGTGAAATGAGTTCTGCGGCAAGTTTCCAGTTGCAAGTTTTGGTGTCTAGAATTGACCTATAAAGGCCAACTAGAGCAATCTGGTACTGAAGCGCTTCAGTGTGTCCCAGCGTTTGGAATTGCAGAACCAGCTCAGCCTCTGTTGACACTAAAAATAATAATAAAAAAGCTTTGTGCACTATTTTATAACTCCATGCACTCAGACTTGAAAATAATTGGTTTCCTTAGCAGAGACAAGAAGATAACTTGGAGCTCTTGGATTCTTTGGGATTGTCTAGACTATGCTGTGCAATAGGGTGATATCAGGGCTAAAATTAAAGCCAGCTTAATGCAGCAGAAAGAGTATCCCTATGTTAGAACAAAGCACTGATCTAGATGATGTACAATGCTGTTAAATATCCAAATAAGCTCTTACACTGCTTATACAGTTAGTTCATTTGTAGCTAACTTGAATATCTCTTTGGCATAACGCTGTGAATGTTCCTACCTTAATCACAGGAGTGTTTATTCCTGAAGTGTAATAATTACATTCTTGCAGCATTTTTCATCCTAAGATTCTTTAAGTACTTTCCAACTCCTGAACACACGTATAGCTCTACCAAATGATGTAATACTATGCGGGAGGAAACTTACCTGAAATGTAGCCAACGCAGGAGATTTTTGAAATCTTTATTAGCATAAAGTAGTATCCGTTCATTCTCGTGTGAAATATATGAAAGGTAAAAAAAAAAATCAGCCATAGTAAGTGCCAGTTGATTCTGAAGTGGCTTGCTATATGATGTTTTTAATTGTTCTATCGTATTTCATACACGTGTGTGATTGACCAATAATATAGCATTCTGTGTATCTGGTTTTGGCATGGCAAAATTGCCTACAGAAGATTTCTGAATAGATATAAGAAATAGCATATAGCTTTTGTCTTGAGAAATTAGAAAGCTTGATTGTAGTTGTGCAGAATTTGTATGGATGGCATCTGAAATAGTGGTATACTGACTGAAAGAATTAAACTGATATTTGTTTAGAATAAAATTAGAGTTTACTTTTAGCAAAATGTTTAGGCAGAAAGAAGATTGATTATTCAGTCTCCGCATCCTGACTGCTCTAGACAGAATCAACATCAGTATTTGTCACTGTCTCTCATTTTTGATTGTTTAGCAGCATATTTTGCTGCTTTATCTCAGTGTAATAGTAATTACAATTTTTAACCTTCAGCATCTTCAGGATTCTGGGGAATAATCAACACCGCATGGAATCTTTCTTGATTGTAGGAACTGTGAGTCAGCAACCCTTTAATTTTTTTAGTTGCAGCTATTGTTCCAGCAGCAAGCTTTACTGCCATTGTCCACTGTTTGTCCAGCTCACGTTTACTGGACTGTGGGAACGGATTAGGGTTTCATGGCTTTTTTTTCCTTCTTGCATAAACTCTTGATCAAAGACATTCCTTGGATGACAAAACACTGTATACTGTGTCACACAGTCCTGACCAGACTGCACAAACAGTAGTTTAAAAACACATGCCTACATTGTTCTCTAAACTGGCTTTTTTTTTTTTGCAATGTATGTGCAGACATTGAATTTTTGAGACCCCATTTACCTCCTTTAAAAAACACACATACAGAAGTTATTGTTAATAAGCACTTGACAGCTTCTGACATACAAGTAAAAAACAAATGACTATTTGAAACTAAGAATCGATATAACAGTGTGTCACTTTTAAGCAGAGCTAGAGGTGATGTCCGCAGTGTATTTCCTTCTTGAGGAGACCTTGGGTTGTGGTGCAGCTCGTCAAGTGCGCTGTAAACCTAAAACCACATGGACTTACGGCATCATTTTATGTGTTGTATCCAGAACACCTGAGTAAGATGGAGAATGATTTCAGCACAATTTGGGAACTCATAACCCTACTTCACCATAGGTACATTGTTAGAACAGCATGTTGAGAATCTGGCTCGTTATAGTTGTATGTCTTGCTCTCCTTTTAAATTCTTTTATGCAATAAGATGAGGACAAACTTCACAAAAATCCAGTAGCATCATTATTTCTCAAACTACTGAGAAACAAACAAATCATGTTAGAGAAAAATATGGAGAGACTTTTTCAAGGAGCTTTGATTTGTGATTTGCCCGAAATTCTTCAGCAGAAGCATGGAAGAAATGGAAAGAGATCCCTGAAGATACCTTAAGCAGGTTTACAGAGGGATTTAAAAACATGGAGGACTATATTTAGGCGATTGGAAAGTTGAGGATGAGAGAACACTTGTTTCCACAAACATGTGAGGCTTTGCATATACTTGTTTGATTCTGCAGCACTGTTGAGCACTATCATGCAGGAGTGAAGGCAGATGAACTCTTTCACTTATATTAGAAAGATACTGTCCATAAGAGAGGAACCTTCCTGATCCTTTGCAGTCCAGGGGTCTCCATGAAAAGAGAAACCTGAATTAATATGCG